ACTTTTTATGGGCACATTTTTGGTAGTAAGTTGCCATGGGTAAGCCAAGTCAGGAAAAGTACAGTCCAACCTGATCCTGGCTCAAAATAAATGCAACCAGTTCTGCAGTATAAATCCCTTGTTTCCCTCCACTTTTGGATTTTTATAACTCTCTTTTTTTTGTTGTTGTTAGCATAGACAATGAAAAACTTCATACAGAAAAGTATCTGTCCTGGATCAGACCAAAGATCTAGGTAGCCTACCCCACTATCATGGTGGCCAACAGTGGATAAAAACAGCGCAAAGGTGGAATAGTACTCCCTTAATTTACTTCTGCAATTTACAGCAATGTGCAACTCAGGGGTATTTTTAGTCAGAGGCAGTACCTTTGTGTTTAATTGTCTTTAATGATTTTCCCCCATGAATTTGAATAACGTCTTTTTGCATCGCTATTGCTCTTTTATAATGGTGTCGTGGTTTAGGCTGCATCAGGGAATGAGAGACTACAGATGCTCTCCCCCCACTTCTCGCTCCAGGGGGAAGAGGAGGAGAGGTTAAGAGATTTACGAGTTTAGAAGGAACTACACTAATGAAATATTAATAATAAAATATAAAGGAAATAATGAAATAGATACAATATATTACAAAACTGTGTCAAGCTCCCAGGATGATGTCACCAGCAGGCACTGGGGAAGTTCCAGACTGGACTCAGGAATGGAAGGGAGCTGGATTCCAAATCTGGAGTCAGGAACACATGGATTGGGATCATAGGCAGACAAGATCCTCCTCCGATGAGCCATTGAAGAGAGAGGGCTGACCCTTTGGTCCCTCAGCTTTTATAATGGGCATGAGGCAGATGGGATGTAACACCCTGTTGCTCAGTTTTCAGTCACCTGTCCTCCCTGCAGGTGTGACCCCTCTATGCTTTTCCATTTCTGACCCTCCAATGGGGAAAATAATGAAGCTAGCTGACTCTTGGTTGTTATAGCAATAAGTATAAGCAAAAGCCTCTCTGCGTACCATTCCTTGGCATTAACTATAAACACAGGCCTTATCACTCTGAGAACAGCTTTCTGCACAATATGCTGTTAATTTCAGAGAGTTAGAAGATGCTTAGCTAAGAAGTAAAATTACTGAACAGAAAATTGGTTCTGTTTTACCTCAAACTAGGATAAATGGGCAATACAGCTAAATTATAGGGTATGAGAAGATATATTCCCTTTTGTGTTTTTTGAGTATGCCAGATGATAATTTCACTTGATGTTATCTATTTTTGGTGTTATGAAAAGAAAAAGAATAAAAGTTTCTTCTCTGTGCTACTGATTATACAGTTCACTATTATGTTCCTCTGCAATTGTTTTTCCAGGCTGAAAAGTCCTAACCTTTTAATTGCTCTTTGCATGCGAATTGTTTCAGACTGTAGATCATCTTTAGCAGCCTTCACTTTCCTAACTCAGCTCTACCTTTTTTAAGACAAGATGCCAGAACTGCACACAGGATTTGAGGTGCTGAGACACCTTGGAATTATATAGCAATATATTCATTATTTCCTGCTCTCTTCCATATTCTGCCCCACATAGTTCCTCTATGTTTAGTTAGCTTTTTTGACTGCTTCTAAGCTGAAGTTTTGAAGTCAAACACTGGTGCAGAGGATCCTATTTTGGCCTTCACGTTTCCTAAGATACTGAATGTAAACAATTTTAGTTACTATTACAAAGTTAGTCTTTGACAGGAACGTTGTGAGACAAGCCAAAAATACCATTGGGAAGAGAGTCAAAACCAGACTCTCCCCTTTGAGTTTCCTGACTGGCTTATCCATGAAACATTCATGTACAGTGTCTAAAAATATCCCAGTGTGACATTTAAATCTACATAGAAGTAATTAAATTCTCTTATTATTACGGTATTTCCAGTCCTGGCAGACTCTCTGAATCTCATTTTTCCCTAGCTTGTCACTATTGTTAACTGTCCTTATCTTGACCTGATTGGTGGTGATGTATATACTTTGCCTTGAGAGTTGCTTTTAAATATTATGCCTGACACTTCTGTATGAGAGCTGAGATTTGCAATTTGACACCTGACCACTCCTGTAGTTTTGATGGTCTTACAAGGTGTCCATGCTGCTATAGAATACACAGCAGCTTTGATGAGGAAGGTCAAGTGTGTAAACACAAATGTAAACAAGTAAGTTTAATTTATGAAAAAGAGCCATAGGTCAAAAGGAACTAAAACAAAATATTGAAGAGAAACATAGTCCTCATGTCTGGAGAGTAAACGATGGAAGAAATCCAAAGCTGAATTGCTTGCTTTGTTCCAAAGACTACAAAATGTTTTACATGTATTCATGAACTAAACTTGACAACATCACCAAAACAGAATAATTGGCAACTAGTTCCCTACCTACGGCCATCTGCAAAATGAAACAAAACTTTGGGGATTTTTCTGCAAACATGCCCTAGCTGTGGCTTGATCAATATACTCAAGCACTTTTATGTCCTCCCTACTCTTTGCTCCTTTGTTGCATAATAAATTCATGTATATTTATCAGCACCACAGCATCTGCCATCTGTTAATCCAGGTGCTAGATCTAAACAGTCGAAGTTCTCTGTGCCAGTGGACTGTTCCTTGCTATGTGCTGTGTCTCTGAAGTTAAGTATCATTTTAATATTAACAGGAGTTTTGGATGTTTTTCCTTTCTTTGCCAGTTTATGGAATCTTATAGATAAATTATACAAATGTATGCAGTCCCTGTTTGGTCTCTGTAGTATCCTGTTTCATTTTTAGCTTAATTAAAATTATAACTATTGGAATTTCCTTTTGTACAATTTAGATTACTCTGATATCCTGTGCCAGCAGCCACTAGATTTCACTCCTCTTCATCAACTCCAGACAATAACTCCAAATGGGACATGGGAGCTTTGTAAAGCGCTTCCTGAAAATCTGAATTAATCCAGCCAAATGTCTCCCTGATGTGATGCCACTGGCAGTAATGGAGATACGGCAAGAAGTAATATTGCCTTGGCATCCACTAAATCTGTTTCATTTGGTTTTGGCAAGACGCGTATGAATTTTTTTTTAAAGGAATCAGTCAGTCTCTGCATAATCTGAATCCAGGCTGAGAATTCTTATTCAAACTGTACTCTTCCCGACATTGATGAAACAGTTGATCTCTAGACATGCTGTCGATGGTAACTTATTTCCTGATGCTGCAGAAGCCTCATATCTCAATAGGCAATTTAAACCAGAATATTCAACTGAAGAGCAGTCTAAGCAGACAAGGACATTTTTTTGTCTAGATCTTAGCTGGAAGAAGGGACTGCACAAAGTTAAGCAGTTCCTGCCAGTTCCTGGGAATGCAGTGGCCAGTGATTTAACTGGAAAGATCACTGTGGGCATCTTCTGTTACTGACAGACCTCCTGCCAGCCTCTCTAAAAGCGCTACTGAAAGTTTTCCTTACTAGACCTGGAATCACATGCAGCCAAGGACTGGAATTTCTTCCCTCAACTCTGTTTTTTAACACAGAAAGGCCACCAGAGGCTTCCAGTTATTAAATCAATGTTTCGTTTAGAATATAAAATAATAAACCAGGGCATTCCATTTATTTTAAGACATTTTTTATAGTTAAAACAGATGAAATATAATAAATCTCCCTCCTGCCTGCTCTGATCCTTATAGGTCTGGTTGTTTCCCCTTGTCCAGCAGGTGTTATCGAACAGACCCATACGGCTTCTCCTGGGTTGCTAAGGAAAGGTCTATGATTCTATGATTCTATGATTTCTCAGGGTACCATTTCATGCCACCTCTCACGTGGGTTGCCACCGAAATGGTAGTTCCCACTTCATCCCTTGTGTTTTCAGTTAAAAGCTTCTGCTTTTTCCTTTTTGTTGGTTGTAGCGGTAATTTGGCCACAGGGCAAGAAGGCTTACTTTGCAGCTGCTGAAAAACTAGGGATTCCTTTTCTTCGTTGGGTTAGTTTTCTGTGAGATCGGCAGATGAAAGAGCAGGATCAAATCTTCTGGCAGTTCCAGGCAGATAACTTCAAACTGCACAGCCACGGGTCTGCTCCCTCTTGCAGGCAGCCCCTCGCTTGGGAGGCTTTTTGTCCCTGTTTCACACCTTTTTCTCCTTTCTCCCTCTCTCCAGAGTTCAGTATAACTCAGAGTGCAGTAGCCCAGACAAGACAGACCTCGCTCTCTTGCAAGATGCCAAACATAAGAGAATGCAGAGCATTGGAAACAAGTTAAGTAGCTTCATCAAAAATATATACTTTTTTTTTTTTTTAACCATACATATGTGTAAAATGCAGACATGTAACTGCAGATAGTTGGAAAGTATGCATGAGTTACTTTCCATTAGCTTTCCTCTCACTGCTGGGATCCATCAGCAACAGCTTGTTTATTCCCTCCTACCCCAAGTAATTTAGCTCCTCTTTTCTCCATCATACGGAGATATTTGGAAAAAAAACACAGACCAAACCTGACTCCGTCTTCACAGGACTCACAGGATATATGCTATATTCCACAGCTCTGAAACAAGATCTGGGCAATATTTCAGATCAGGGAAGTTTAATACTGTTTATATAGATCTCTGGTGCTGTATCAATATTCTAGGATTGTTTTTTTTCTCTGCTTCCTCTCCGACCCCATTGTGCAAGCTGCTCTGAGCTTTTTTGAACTACTGGTCAGTGCTGGGCTGTGTTCTGCTATGAGGTATAACAGTATGTTAGTAATGCATGAGGTGACTTTTCTTTTTTGTGTATGAGCACACAGGCATGCACAGACAAGCACAGACTAATGCCCTTTTTATTCCATCCAGGGGAGTTCACTGGAGAGCAAGAAACCCTGAATTTCCTACATATAGCTGTGGAACAGGACTGCAAATTGTTTTCCAGAGATGTTGAGTTTTTAATCAGTTGCAGTTCCACATGGACAAAAGACCAAAGAACAAATAATTTATGAGGTGAAGAACATAGATTTATGCATTCATTGGTAGTATGAGGGACCAAGGAGTGCATGTTTTATCCAAACCAGCATAGAAGTTTAACCCTTTTTTATTAATGTATTCTCCAAACCGTATATACCATTATTATTAATATTTATGAACATATTCCCAAAACCGTTATATCTTCACATGGATTGCGGTTTTCACTGTGGGTAAGGGACAGAAATTTCTTGGGTTGCTGCCTGGTGTCCTGATCATCTGATAGGGAATTTGTCCACAGAATAGCATGGCTGCAGAGTATAACGTTTGGCTTTGTGTAGCCACACTTCCTTCCTCTGAGAGACAAGGTGTGAGGAGGGGGAGTGAAAAGGTAGGGCTACCGTGTGTTGCATCCTTGTACGAGCTGAGATTTGTCCAGCGCACAGTCTGAATCCACCTCAGAAACACTCTGCACTCCATTGGTTCAGAAATAGCCACAATAAGTCAATCCAGCAGACAGGGCAGTGAAAAGCTCTTTGACAACTCTGAGCTGTTTCTCAGTTAGAAAATGGAGACAACTGAAATCTCCAGGAGATCTCCTACTTCACTTTGCCCAAAGTCATACAGGTCTTGAATCCTGAGCTCCAGTCCAGGACTTCAGCCCTTCTTCCAGCAATTAATTTGTTCTAATTATGAATTTCCTTGATTCTTTGAGTCATTTCTGTTGTATTTATGATTAAATGGCTCCCTATCTTATAGCAATAATACTGTTCTATCCCTATTTTTGGCTCTTACGGGATGAGAAGTACTTGGGAAGATAAACAGTATCTAATATTTAGTAAAGGGGTAACTGTACATAGCATTACAGGCTTCAGTGTGAAATAAATGTGATTAACAAAAGAAGAAGGAATCTATGCATCAAACACTGCATATTTGGCTTAAACACAACTACAGTTGTCAAACAGAAGGTCTTGTCTGTATTCTTTTTCAAAAACTGGTTTACAATTGCTGGCATTATTTCTTGGTGATTACTGTACATGTAAGAAAAGTGTGACTGCACTTGTCAGCCACTTTTCCTACACGCTGATATTCCTTTTCAGAAATTATACAACCTTGTAGCCTACTGAGAAGTAAATTAAAAAGCACTGAGATTTATTCCCTGAACTGAATCTCCAATTAAAGTTACTATTGCTCAAAGTACTGTTTATTTTCCTTTTACAAACTTAGAAAAAGGCTACTTAGAATATGGCTAATGATAGTTTTGATGGAGTTACAAGAAAAAGTGCTTATATAATACTTGACTTCCAAATCACACGGAAACATTGCAATTAAGTTCTGTGAGACTCGCTACACCCTTTACTTCATTATGTTTCTTTATATGCAAATTAGAGACCTTATTCTCCTTTCCACTTCTATATAATTCCACTCAGGTATTTGGAACTGCACTGCTGTAATATTGTTGTTCAAAAAACCAGCAGCAAAGTGCAAGTGGAGATGGAAGACCTGCTGAAATTTCTGCTGACGACAAAGTAGAACTCTGCTGGAGGAACACCAGCAGAAACAACCATCAGACATGGCAGACATGGCAGAAGGAGAACTGACTCATAGTCGACGCTGTCTATTCTTTATATCAACAGCAGCTGTCATGCTCTTGATGAGACATTAGAGGACCAGATTGAGAAGAGTATAGCTGAGGGTTAAAAGTCATCACCAAAAGATCACTCAATAGGAATGTATTGCTTTGTTCTGAGGAGTGTGTTTCATGACATCTGAAGTACAGCTGAAGTAACTGCAAGAGGTGTTATAGGGCTAGCGGAATAAAAGTAAGAGCCAAGGTAAGCACAAGGGATAGCTTTGGGAATCCACATGGAAATAGCTGATTGGAACACAGAAAGGTTCTGTATATTTAAGGATAACTTAGGGGCTGCCCACTGAGGACTAAAGACAAGAGCTATTGAGGTAGTCCTCAGGAAGGAAAAAGAAAAAAGTTAGCATCATTGGCACTATCAGTGATGGTCAGAGTTCAAGGGGTTTTGCAGTTCCATATGTTCTGGAAGGGGACAGTTTTAGTTTGATGCCCTCTTTTTAGCTGAGGAGAATCTCAGCTGCTTGACTTCAAACAGGTAACATTTGTTGGGCAGGACCAAAGACCAGGAGGTAAGGAGAAGAGGAGCTATGGCTTACCTTGAGCAAAGTGGAATCTGCTTCCAGAATACAAAGTGATGTTTTCTGTTCTCATCAAGAAGAAAGAAGCTAGAAAAGAAAGAATAAGAAAAGGAGATGGGAAGAAGTGTTAACTTTTATCCATGCTGAAAATAGAGCCTTCACATACTGTGTGATAATAGCAAAAACATATTTGAACTTGGGGTTGAGTCAATCTGCTCCAAACTTTAATGAGCTTTGAATTGTGCCTCTGTGTTGTTAGTGCCTCTTTAATGGAAAAAATTAAAAGATTGGAAATATAGGCAAGTTATATGTCACAATAAGCATAGTAATGAGACTACAAATATACTAAACTGTTGTAATAAACATAAATCTGAAAATGTAAAATAAGTTTCTGAAAGCAGAATTGTGTTGGGATATCATAAAATGTCTCATTAAAAATTTGGATACTTTATTTTCAGATTTCCACTTCTATACTTTTTTAATGAGACAAATAATAAAGAAAAATGACAATTTCTGGTTGGTCACACAGGCCAGCAAAAGTTTTAAGAAAGTTATTTCATGTAAGAAGGAATGAAGGGTGAGTTAAAGCTATCACACTATAAATTAAAATGGAGATTCGTAAAGTACCAATGAATTTTAATGTTTCGTATCCACCGCATTATACTCTCCAGAAACAGAAGGTTACATTGTGGGATCCTCTCTCCTGCTGAGACCAAATTGATACAGACATGATTTCCATAAGGAATTGCAGGTTCACCTGTTGATACACACTGTGGGGTTGAGGCCTGAAGAACATAGAGATTGCAGTGTCCTTTCAATATGACATGGAAGTTAAAAAAGACAATTGCGCTCAGAGATATTGCAAGTCATCCAGGAGCCTAAAGCTGTAGAAAAGAATTTTTGCATAAACACAACACTTCAGATGAAACGAGGATAAAATATGATGGTGATTAAGTAATGACTGGGTAGTGCGACCTGGAGGCCACTGAAGGTGGAAAGATTGCTGCTTGATTTATTTTGAGCAGCAATGCCATCTTCTTTTTTTTTTTTTTTTTTTTTTTTTTTATATAAAAGTAGATGAATAATATTCTTTAATAAAAGCATCCAATGTCCTTTTTTAAAAAAAAAAACAACTCCCTCGGGCTTCTAATTCCCGCTGGC